TCTTGCCGCGTGCGTTGTATAACAGCGTGTAAAAAAAATAGCAGGAGAAAGGAGAATTAAAGGGAGAGAGGGAATCGCAACGGTCCCTCCCGCGGAAGCACGATCGATTAATTGGAATCGTCGAGCGCCGGTGATCAGCCGGTTGTCGTAGCCGTTGTTTAATCGTTTTTTGATGGCGCCGCCGCGATGTACTTTGCTCCGGCCGCGGATCGATTCGTCAATTATGTCGAATCGCTGTTGGATTCGAAACTCTCTCTTTCTCTCTCTCTCTCTCTCTCTCTCTCTCTCTCTCTCTTTCCGTCGCGTCGCACCCCTCGCCGGTTTATTAAACTTTATGGAGACGGTTTAGCAGGCACGGGGGTTTTGGCTATCGGCGCAAACAGGTAGCCGTTTCGACGACGCCCGCGGTGTATATTTTTCGCCGATTTATTCGTTCAGTTTTTACGTAGAGTTCCCGGCATTTTACTTCTGCTCCGACGCTCCTCGGTTTTCTGATTTACAGCGGATCCCGAAATTATTCGCGCCGGTGCACATTTCGCGTCGAATCTACCTGGTCCAGTCGCCCGCGCCGGACTCCTTGTTCTTATTTGCCGAAATTCTAAACATGTTCCTTTTGTGAGCGAAACATAAAATGAACGGATCTCTTTGCTCGAGATTTAGGAGGCTCGCAAGAAATCTTCGAACCCCTTGGGCGGTAAATAAAATGGGAAATGGAACTTCTTGTTTCGTTTTGTGAGATTCTTGTAATTAGGCGGAGGTTTTTTATGCGAAATAAAAAATGTCTCTATCGATTACGAAAAGGAAGGAAAGGAAACTGGAGACAGATAAGAGCGCATTTCTTCTTTTAATAATTTCAATAAAATGAAAATAATGTAACAGTATTGTTACAATTTTCGGAGATCTTCTCTGCTCCGTATTTTACTGATTCATTTTTATCCGAATTGTTGTATTTTTAGTTTTAATAAAGTAATATATTTAACAGACTTTTTAGTTTCGATTCGAAGGCAATTCGGAGGCCACGTGACATGATTCGAAGGCAATTCGGAGGCCACGCGACACGATTCGACGGTCACGTGACAGGAGTCGAAGGCAATTCGAAGACCACGTGACACGGTTGGAAGGCAATTCGGAGACCACGTGACACGATTCGAAAGTAATTCGAAGACCACGTGACACGATTCGACAATTCGACGGTCACGTGACAGGATTCGAAGGCAATTCGAAGACCACGTGACACGACTCGACGATTCGACGATCACGTGCCTAGTACAATAAATCCTCAAGCACAGCAATTCTTCAATTACACGAGCCTTGTGCCTCGCTTTCATATTCATTAACAATCGGTAACTATAAAAACGAGTCGCTTAGCATAGACGTAGCAACAAACAGGCGTAGAACTAGCACAGAGAAATTCACAGGAATCCAAAATTTGGCATTTCCGGGAGAAATTATATTACAAAAGATCACGCGACAATGTACACAGTTATGTACTGCGTCTGACAGATGTCACGATCAGTCTGTTGCAACAATAACAATGAATTTCTTAGTCATCGTTGTTCTTCCGTATCGTTTAGTCAGCTTAAAGTACCCGCTGCAAAAGAGCAGGTAGAACATCTCTGTCGATCCTTCAATCGACATTGAAACACGTCCTCGCGACAATGGCTCGCAGCTCGCAGTCTCTGCAGCTTGAAGTCTCTGCAGCTCGCAGATTCTTTCTGTTGCAGATTCTGTTCGCGCGTTCCGCGCGAAATCCCGTTCTTGATCACCGACTTGACACTCGCGCTCCGCTCGTTCTTCATTTTCTCGGTCTTTAACGGATCGTTCCCGGGAGAGACGGAGGCCAAGCGACGTATCAGTCCGATGGAAAATCAAACATCGAGCACGCCGAGGGCCGGAGTCTGCTCCGATGGCGGATGCAGATCGGATAATTGTAAACAAATGGAGTATCGGGGCCGTAACCGGTGTTTAGGTGGGAAAGACAACAATCTGCTGCGGCAATGTTTACCGGGCGTTCATGGAACGATGATTGTGTCGCGGGATATTATGCAGGGTGTTCTCACCCTAACGGTCGCACGGAGTTCTCTGGCGTTTTACACTAATTTGACAGAAAATGAATAGGAAAACAGGAATAGAAGTTAACGAGAGCTTCGAGGCGAGCAAAGCGCAATGATAAAAATTTTGCAAAATTTTTCTATTCGTCGAAAAGCTCGGGTCACTTTGACATTTTTTTGGAGCACTACGCTTTTTTGACTTTATAGCGTTATAAATATATATATAGCGACCCGAGCTTTTCGACGAATAGAAAAATTTTGCGAAATTTTTATCATTGCGCTTTGTTCGTCTCGAAGCTTTCGTTCCGAAAAATTTTGCAAAATTTTTCTATTCGTCGAAAAACTCGGGTCGCTTTGACATTTTTTTGGAGCACTACGCTTTTTTGACTTTATAGCGTTATAAATATATATATAGCGACCCGAGCTTTTCGACGAATAGAAAAATTTTGCGAAATTTTTATCATTGCGCTTTGTTCGTCTCGAAGCTTTCGTTCCGAAAAATTTTGCAAAATTTTTCTATTCGTCGAAAAACTCGGGTCGCTTTGACATTTTTTTGGAGCACTACGCTTTTTTGACTTTATAGCGTTATAAATATATATATAGCTGTCTCTTATACACATCTAGATGTGTATAAGAGACAGCTATATATATATTTATAACGCTATAAAGTCAAAAAAGCGTAGTGCTCCAAAAAAATGTCAAAGCGACCCGAGTTTTTCGACGAATAGAAAAATTTTGCGAAATTTTTATCATTGCGCTTTGTTCGCCTCGAAGCTCTCGTTTCGAAAAATTTTGCAAAATTTTTCTATTCGTCGAAAAGCTAGTTTAGCCGATTATAGCCGACGATGAAACGAATTCAACGATTTATTCCGCAATGACCTTTACAGAATGGCTTTTACCGTTGCCGGAAATTGCTGCGCAGTTTGATTTGTTTTCGGGTATAATTAATTGTATTGTATTTTCGAATAAGATACGTTCAATTTTATAATTCAAAAATGAACGAAATAGAAGAGTGACAAAATTATTCCATAAATGTGGAGTTAATTATGTCGGTAAACAAACCGAAGGCACAGTAATTGGTTACGCCACGGTTCAGGGTTTCGCCACCCTACTGTAAAATGTAATAATAACGACGCGATTCGATCGCCTGTTTGACCCGGAAATCAATTATTTAATTCAGGCAGCTTGCGCTGAAACGAACGACAGCATTTTGAGGGACGACAATAACGTCGTTTGTTGACATACTAGAGCACGCGTTGTGCCTATAATTATTACGCAAACGAATGTTTTCGCGTACGAGAACAGTCTTTAAACAATTCATAACGTTTAAAATCACCTCGCGGCCTAAAACGAATCTATTCGATTTATTAATCTCCTATATCGAAGCCGTGTATTTTGCGTCATTATTCGAACAGTTTGAACTAGAGAATACAAAGCGAAATGTTTATTAAATTATTTCAATCATTCCGCGAACGCGACCGGCGAATACAAAATAAAATATTCATTTAATTATTCGAAACACTCTGGCGTTCGCAATTACTTCGATAACTGCGTCGCGTGTATATGTGCGCTAGCATGCGTGTTTTCCCACGGGTCCATTGATTTATGCGACTACAATTTTATAAATTCTAGCTTTCCTAGCACGTTCTCGTCAAAATTGTTGTCGTTGTCTGGACAATTATCGGAAATAATATTTTATTGCGGTAATAAATGTGAAATGAATAAAAATGAATGTAATTGTATAAAAGTTTCAGAGAACGGTAACGCAGTAATAGGAGCTCGTTGAGGGGGCTACTGCGGTTATAGAACAACGTTTTGGTATTTGACATAAGGGTTGAATACAGTGAGACATTAAAAATCCCGAGAAATAAACAAGAACATTGTAGACAATTTTCGCTATTGGTATTAAGGTTGAATACAACGAATACTAAAAACCTAAAAAGCTAAATAAAAATATTATTGACAATTCTGATTAAGATAAGGGTTGAATATAGCGAAACATTAAAAACCCTGAAAACTAAATAAGAATATTTTCGACAATCTTCATTATTAGCATAAGGGTTGAATACAGCGAAACATTAGAAACCCTAAAAACTAACCTTAACATCGCCGTCAATTCTGCTCGTTAACATAATCGTCGAATACAACGAACATTAAAAACCCTAAAAGCTAAATAAAAATATTGTTGACAATTCTGGTTGTTAAGATAAGGGTTGAAAACAGCGAAGCATTAAAATCCCTAAAAACTAAACAAGAACATCGTCGACAATTCTGATTCTTATCATAATAGTTAAATACAGCGAAACATTAGAAACCCTAAAAACAAACCTTAACATCGCCGTCAATTCTGCTCATTAACACAATCGTCGAGTACAACGAACATTAAAAACCCTTAAAAACTAATCTCGAACAACGTCGGACAATTTTGATCATCGCCGCAAACAAAAACGAACCCAGTTAATTCCCGGGTAAGCAGCTGTCGCCAAAAACCAACGTCGAGCAGCCGAGCAAAAAATCGGAATCTCGCTGAGTCCGTTTAGCATGGAACAGGGTCCCGTGTCACGAAACGTTTTTCCGATCCGCGGGTCGCCGAAAGGAAAGAGGGTCATCGGAATAACGCGTTCGCGCCGTGACAAACGATCGTGGAGGGGCCATTAAACCAAATATTGTGCCAGGAGCTTAGTCCTTAAGAGGCCCGGAGACACGCGCGGCAGGGGGGAAGGGGGAAGGCCGGGTGATAGGTAGGTAGGGAGGATGGTGAGAGAGAGAGAGAGAGAGAGAGAGAGAGAGAGAGAGAGAGAGAGAGAGAGAGAGAGCCGGGCCGATGTTGGGCGCGTTTAATTCGGTCGAGGAGGCCAATCGATCACGGCAATCTCCACCCACAAACGACGATTGTCGCATTCGCCTCGCACCCTTCGCTCAACTCGCATTCCCCGTTGACTGTTGCAGGCCCGTGAAACCAGCCAGCCAGGACAACGAGAGATCGATACAGCCGATACAGGGATAACGGTTCGAAAATCGTCCCGGAAGACAGGAAGCATCGCGCACACCAGCTTCGCATCGCCCCTCTAATTGACAGCCGGCGAGAGGGGTGGGGGTGGGTCCGCGATCGCGCATATCGGCTGCAAGCAGTTGGAACACCGCGGGTCTGACGGGGGACAAAGGCCGGGGGCAGGGTGAACCGAGACGGAGCAGGAAAGAGGAAGAGAAATCGAGTCGTCGAACGAGAGAGCGTGAGAGAGAAAGATCGACAGAGGGGAAGAGAAGGAAGCAGAGAGAGAGAACGAAAGAGGAAAACAGAGACGGCGGCGGACGAAATTTACGAGTGGGTTCGTTCGCTTGCCTAAGGTGTGTTTGGGCCAGTCTCGCCGGTAACAAATGGCCCAGCCGTAAAGCCAGCTTACGTTGGAACGACACCGGAAGTAGCCGCCGGATTTCCGCGGGCCGCGAGGAAGCCAGATCCGCGGACGTTTCGGCCGAACGGAGACGAAGGATTCCGGTTGATCGGCGTTCACCTGGAAGGCACACCGTCGAATGCACCCTCTCGCTGTGTGTGTGTGTGTCATTCCTCTCTGGTTTCCTCTCGATCCACGGGATCGCGATCGCATTGGGTAGGGCCCCGACCGAGGATAATGTCGAACGGCCGACGCGAGAGCAGCCATTGAGAAGACAGCGAGCGCCAGGCCCCCTCCGAGCACAATTCGCCCAAATGGGTTAAAGACGACCGGCGCGATGGACGGCGCGACCCCGTGCTGCTCGCAAAATGGTGATCGTGCTGCCCTCCTGGAAACGCAACAAGTGGCGAACATCCGCTCCTTATTGCTGAGCCGCGACCGATGTTAGCCGGGAGAGGGGACAGCGGTTTCGATCCAGGGCCCGTCATCTCCGATCCGAGGGATCTCGTAGCCGTTCCACAGGCCCGCCCCGAGCGCTCGCCAGGTCCCGAGGACGCGAGAATCGCACACTTTCTCACACTTACACGTACACGTACCCGGCATTGTACATATAGCCGCGCGTATCCCGATATATCGTATATCCCGGTGGTTCCATCGGGGATTCGGGGATCGAGGGAAGCTCGCCGGGCCGATCCGACGCGTTCCAAGATCGCTCGAGACTCGAGGATCCGGAGGAGTCGCAGTCCCAGGTCCGCTCTTGATCCCGGATTGATCGAGGAAGGAGCAGATCCGCTCCGTAGCCTAACACCGACATCCTCGAGGATGGGCAGTGCCGATGCCCGGTCAGCGAAACTTCCCAGGAGTCACGGAGGGTTCCCGGCGCCGCTGCGATCGGAATCGCCGCAAGGCTGAGAGGGAAGATCCAGGGCTAATCTGAGAGGCATCGGTCGCCGTCGGATGAGACGATGGTGATGAAGATCTCCGCGGTCGAGGCTGGCGTTCCCTTGTTAAGCGCCGTCGGTCCCCGCTGCGTCGTTAAGCAGGCCACGGTCAAGAGATGCGTCGCGGCCCTGCTGCTCGTCTCCGTTGCCAGTATTTTTTACTACACGCACTACATCATCAGCAGTCCTCTTGCCAGGTGAGTCCTCTTTCTTGATGTTTTTACACGTGCACGATTCTATCGGGTTCGTTGTACACGCTGACGAGACATCGAACTTTGTTTCTCTGATCGAATCGTATTCGCCTTTTGTACTCTGTTAGGATCACGGGTTTGGTCACTTCTTGATTGTTCATCAGATTTTTGTGTTGTTTTAGACATTGTGTTCAGTTTGACCGATTTGGCGAAAATTATTGTTCTTATTATATTATATTATATATTATATATATATTATATTTATCTTTTGTAAATGTGTATATATAATAATAATAATTATTATTATTATTATTTTATTGTTATGAGTAAATAGATAAATATATATATATATAGACAGAGAAAATGGCTGGTAAAAGTGTTCTAGTAAAAAGTTACCTAAGATTTACATAAGATAAATATATACATATATACATATATACATATACATAAGTAAATGGAAAAAATAAATATATATAAATAAATAGAAAAAATAAAGGAACCCTTTTCGAGGCTCCGGCTTTCCACAAATCACGACAATCGTCGTCTAACTGCCTAACATCTCCTTAACCCTTTAACGTACAATTTTCATCGCAATTCCTGCGATTAGAAAATTTTCGATCGCAATTAATTTCTCCAAAGAAAGAAAACAAAAATTGACGTTTTTACCGCGTTCCTAAATTCACACTCGAATGCCGAAATATTAACGACAACACGATCAGAATTTTATTCCAATTTTAAGAAGAACGAAATCACATCGATTAATCAATGAATTATTAATAGAAATTTTCATCGCGAGGATGAAAACATTGCGTTGAAACATTGCGTTTTCGCGGAAACGATCGAATTACGATCGCGCTACGAGGGACTTTTCGGACAACTACGTATTAAGATATCGAGCAATTAGTTCTACGTGGAATCGATAGGATTGTACCGTGATCGCGATATGTATCCCGTTTGAATTCCATTAATGCGAGAGTCCTCGGCGCGCGGCGTTTTCTTATCGCCGTTTCTGGCCGAGATGTTCGATCGCGTATCTGGCTAATAAATTCCACGCGGCGCAATTAACAGAAGTCTTTGTTCCGTACGTGTTCTCCATCGATTACGCGTAACAGACCGTTCCGTGCGTGGCAAACGTAATTTTATTACTGGAGAACATGGAATCCCGTGGCCAGATTAACGAGCCCCGATACACGTCACATTTTCCACCGGCGAAACTGCTCCATTGGTCGCGGCCACCCCCGCATATTTTAACCGGGGATACGCGGGTAAAAATTCAACGAATACCAGAGCTGGACATTATTCGGATTGTTTCGAACGTATGTTTATCCAAGATAATTGTTCGAACGAATTCCTTTCGGCCGGATATTTTATTTCCTCGTAAATTATTTTACCTATTTAATTCTTCGTTCGAGTAATTCGAAGAATTCTTCGCTCAAATAATTTTGGATTCAAATGATTTTGAAAGATCGTTTAATCGAACAATTTATTGATCAAATAATTCGGATAATTTCTTATTCGAATAATTCGAGAAAGTAGTACGTAAAATACTGTACGAATAAATTCTTACTCGACTAAAATCATATCCGAACGAATTCTTATTCGAATAAAATTGTATTCGGCTAAATTGTTGTCTCGATCAATTTTTCTTCGATCGAATATTCGTTGCATAGAATAAAAATTTCGTCGGATAGAGTTGTATTCGTTAGTCTGTCTCTTCTATCCGAATAAAATTTTACCAAACTTTGACACGACAGCTATCCCCGCGGATCTCGATTCTCGTTTTTCCGCGTCGACGTGCGCGCCCCCTCTGTCCGTTCTCCCCGCGAAAAGCCGTCTTTTATACAATATAATTCCGCGTTCCGCGCGGACGAATTATCGGACATTGTTAATTCCGAAGCGGGCTCCGGTCCGCGCCGCGCCGGATAATTCGAGGAGTTTTTCATCGAAATCATCGAGCCATCGAGCCGCGAATCGGTCCCAATTGATTTCGCCGCTCGCTTTGCAAAGGACAAGCAGCAGGCAGAGCGCCGGGCCTGGGCGAAATCATGCATCGTATCTGCAAACAGGCAATCAGTTCGCAAATAAGTGAAAGCCGTGCTCTCTCCCGCGTTTATAGATCCGCCCGTTTGACCCCGCGCCGCGATCGCTCGCAAATGATTTCAGCGAAATGCCTGTAATTAAATTGGGTACCCCGAGAGAGCCGCGTGACCAGCACCCTCGAAATTTCCAGCCCTTTTGATCGCCGAACTGCGCCGGCCACTCGCGATTCATCGGTCCGATTCTTTCGAGCAAAACAGCTAATTTTGTTACAACTTTTTTATCAACGTCGCACAATGGCTCGAACGGGCGAATCCGGGTGGAAAAAAAGTCCTGCTCGGCGGCAACGCTATTTACTTTGAACCTTTCATTTCCCGTTGATTTTAATCGCAAACGAAATATTTTAATTGCGAAAGTTACAAGACAATTATCTTTTTTGTTGTTGCAATAAAACGTTTCTAATTGCAAAGAATTGAAAGGAAAAATGTTTCGATGAAACTTTTTCAATGAAAAATTTTCGTTTGCAAGGATTTAAAAGGAACGGTTTTTTAATGAAACATTTTTAACGGCAAAAATCGAAAGGAATGCTTTTAATTGCGAAACTCGGAAGAAACATTTTTTTGATAGAACATTTTCGACAGCGTGAATCAAAAGGGAGAGATTTTTTAATGAAAAATTTTTAATTGCCAAAATTGGAAGAAACATATTTTAGTAAAACATTTTCGACGGTGAAAATTGAACGGAACATGTTTTAATGAAACATTTTTAATTTGAAACATTAAAAGAAGAATTTTTCTCTCGGTAAATATTCTACGACGAAAATAAATAGAAGATATCTTATAAAATATTAAATATTATAAAATACTATATATTGTAAAATATTCTGCGACAAGAATAAATAGAAGATATATATATAATATATCTTCTATTTATTCTTGTCGTAGAATATTTTACAATATATATATATATATTCTATTTATTCTC